TCCACCAAGGATTACAAAATTCTGCGCGCCCGACAGGCACATGTATCTCACTAATTTGTAAGTCGGCAAAAATATTTACAATAGCACATGTTTCAATGCTGATTGCTGAAATGTTACATTTATAATTTGTAGTTCAGGACCATGGACAATGCAGCTTCCTTGCATTGACAGTTCTCTGTGCTGAATTTCTGCTGAGTTTCCTTTGCCTAATTTTTTATTGACCTGTCTGGTTTAAATGAGTGTGTTGCTGCTTTGATGAAGCCTAATTTGATAAAGTTTCAAATACATTTCTGAAATATTTCGTTAATAAATATTTCATGAGTAATAGTTGTCTTTGTATTTGATTTGGCATTAGTAAATAATTATGCACATTTACAGATATTTTACATGATATGAGTGATAACACGTGTTATAAGGGCTATTTTGCACAATAGGTGTGCCTTGAGATTTGTACTTGTCCTTTGGTGTGCCTTGGGCACAACAAGTTTGGGAACCACTGTGCTAACTAACTGAACTGTACCTACAACTTATAGAAGAGTAAGTTATTTTTATCTGTAATAAACTACAACGGTTTGATGAAAAATCAAATCATGGTTTGCTATATATGAATGATATGTTATAGGCAGGGGTGCACAAAACTTTTTTGCCCTGGTTCTCAAAGGAGCACCTGGAGATGTTGCTTGGTGCTCATCCTTAAAATGAAATAAACCGTAACTTTTGAGGGGGTCTTGACTTTATTTGCCAGATACATGGCACTGAACACACATGCAGAGGTGAACACAGAACACACATGCAGAGGTGAACACAAGACAACATTAGCACGACCAGTAATCCTACAAGCTGTCATCACTACCCTCCTGACTGTTCTCCTCACTGTCTTCCTCTCTGTCAGACATGGTAGCTGATGATGTAGGCCTACTACTTTCTCTCTGGTTGAGTCTGCGATTAGCTGCTTGCATCCACAAGTCAACAGCTGGTTTTGGGTCGAAAGTATCTGTTGTCATCTTAGAAAAGTGGATGTAATCAAATAAGTATGTGAACATAACCAATAACAAATTAATGTAACTTATTTTATTTATGTTGTTCATTCATATCTTATTACCTTAACATTTATCTATGCATTTTTTTGTATCTCTCCAGTTTTAAAGGATATTTTTGGTTACTGTCCTATAGTATACATTGGAATGATTTCAAACCTGTTTATCCCAATAATTATAAAGGAGTGCCTTGGAAATATGTGTTTACATAAATTGTGACCAAACCGTTTGAACTTAGACTAAAGTGAACTATCTAAACACTCAGTCCTTACCTCACTGAGCTGTAGTATCAGCCTCTCAGTCTGACTGGAGAGAACTCTCCTCCACATTATTGTAGAAACATCTTCTTCTTATATCCGTTAAAGCAGCTAGCACCAGATTCTAATAACAACAGCGCCGGTACCGGGCGGTGCGCCCTTCTCTCTCCCTCGCTCACTCGCATTTTGGCTGTGAGCTGCGGGCGCCAGATAAGCCAACATCCCCCATTTTCATCACTTACAGCGCCCATCGTACAGGGCAAATGAAACGTGTAACCGGGGTGAAAAGGGTGTTACATTTACTTAATTATGAATATTGTTACATCAAGGCCGAAAATTACGATGAGCACCTACGGTCAAAAATGTTTTTTTCCCTCCCAGAGCTGCCAGCGCAGCGCCTCCACAGATCTGGCGTCATCAAATGACACGGTGCTCTTTTTTTGGCGGAGGTGCGCATGCGCACCTGCGCACCAGTTATGTGCAGCCCTGGTTATAGGGAAGAAAGGCTACTAAGTATTTCCATCAAACTTTATTTTTAGAAATGTACAAAATGAACATGTGTAAATATACATATATACACTGTATATCATCCATTCCTCCTCTTATAGGCGTTTTCGGCATCTTGCCTATCGCAGATTTGTAAGCTGCTGCCGGGGCTTTTTAGGACGAGGCATCAGAGTGGTCATCCCGTCATGTGTTGTCCGCCAGATACGCCAGGAGTTTCCTGATCTGACTGGACGAAATCAAATGCAAATCACAAAATATTAGAGAAACGTAGTTGTTTTAGATTCGTTAGTAGTAGTTGTGGTATGAGTGTGTATCCATCTATCTATCTAATCAACACAGTTAGCTTGCCAGCTAATATGCTAACCTACGTTTGCTAGTTGTTCAGTGTAATATGCCAACCTACTATGAACAACAGCTTCAGCAAGAACATGTTTACAATTGCAATCTTATACGGGTAGTAGGGCTGCACGGTATTGAAAAAAACTGACATCGCGGTTTCCCCCCCCCTGCGGTATATATCGCGGTTTTTTTAACCTGTTAAACCCCAAAGTCCCGGCGGGTACTTTACTTTTTTTTTTCACGACAGTGTCTCAGGGGATCGTAATATTTAAGAACCTATTAATGTGTTATACCAGATTAACGGAAATAATCTCAGCTAACTGACGATACAAACCATTTTATACCAAAACAAAACACAAGTCTCATAAGAAGCATCTAAATGACCCCTGAGCGAAAAATGCTAAAGCACTTTGGCACAGAACTCAAGATAAAAGTACCCTTATTATTACTTATCGTAGCTGCACTTACAAGATATCCGATTAAAGCTGAGGTTCCACAGATTATTTAGGTATATAGTATCATCACTGAGTGATCTGAACTCGGACAGGGGAAGCAAACACATCCCTAACATCACAACACGTACCTTTACGTAGCTTCGAGGGGAGATGTCTCACCGTAGCTGTCAATCTGATCAAAAGACGTGTTCAATGGCATTAAAACGAGAAAGAAAAAACGCGGCTGAATCGGTTAATCCATAGGTTTTTAACGTCTCTGTATAAAAAAATGATTTAATTTATAATCCATAATTCCATTTGTATGTAAATATCGCAGAGCAAAAGTTAGCTGCTAATGGTAGCCACCATAGTGGCTGCTGCTTCCGGTCTTGGCTATGCGGAAGTCTCTCACACACACGTTACCAAATAAGGACTGTGTGATTTCCCCTCGATTCCATTGGCTCTGACGGTCAGAAAGAGATGTCACATGTCAAAATCCAGCAAGGTGGGCCAGAGATATGGAAAATCCACCCAAATGGCCCCAGAAGAGGTTTGTTTGTGCTAAATCTGTCTAAAAAGGTCAAATATCAGGGGAAGTTCTACACACACCAACACATGAACAAATACGGAGTGAGAGTGACGACGCGTAGCCAAAACCGGAAGCTGCATACCACCAAGGTGGCTACCATTAGCAGCTAACTTTTGTGATCCGATTTTTACATAAAAATGGAATTATGGATTATAAACAATTGCTTCAAAGCCACAGATACATTATCAACCTATGGATCAACCGATTCAGCCGCGTTTTTTCTTTCTCGTTTTATGCCATTGAACACGTCTTTTGATCAGATTGACAGCTACGGTGAGACGATCTCCCGTAAAAGCTCCGTAAAAGGTACGTGTTGTGATGTCTGTGTTTGGTTCCCCTGTTGCGAGATCGGATCGCTTAGATACTATACTTAAATAATCTGTGGAGTCTCAGCTTTAATCGGATATATTGTATGTGCAGTTTCGATAAGTAATAAGGGTATCTTTATTTTGAATTCTGTGCTAAAGTGCGTTAGCATTTTTTTTTTTTAAATGAATAAAACCGCACGTCCCTGCGGTGTGAATACCGCGCATGCGCATACCGCGGTTATCGCCATGACACGGTATATCGTTCAGCCCTAACGGGTAGTCTGCTACGTTCGGTCATTCATTGTAGCTGGCATGAAAACAATGTTTTCCCTAGCATGTCTAGCTCTAAGTAGCCTTCTTGTTTAGCTCGGTAGCATACACGCTATGAACGGTAGCATACACGCTAGGAACGCCAACTATAATGTACTGACTGTACGGTAAATCACCCGGAGTATACTGTCTGAGTATTTCGTGTGTGAATGCAGACATTCTCCTGCTATGAGAAACATGTAAGGCCATCTGCTGACAGTGTAGTTGATATATGGAAGCGCTAGCCACTTTGTTAGCCCAGAGTCAATGGCTTGTTCAGTGTAATATGCCAACCCACTATGAACAAAAGCTAGTGGTTCATATTAGTCTAGCAAGAACGTGTTTACAATTGCAATCTTATACGGGTAGTCTGCTACGTTTCGGTCATTCTTTTTAGCTTGCATAAAAACAATGTTTTCCCTAGCATCTCAAGCTCTTGGTAGCCTTCTTGTTTAGCTCCGTAGCATACATACTAGGAACGCCAACTATAATGTAATTAAGTTTCGCGACTGACCGTACGGTAAATCACCCGGAGTATACTGTCTGAGTATTGTGTGTGTGATTGCAGACATTCTCCAGCTAAGAGATAAGGCCATCTGCTAATATTGGAGTTTATATATGGAAACGCTAGCAACTTAGTTAGCACTGTGTCATTGGCTTAGCAGCCCGAAAAACGTTTACCCATTTACACAGTTTTGGTAGATATACCTTTTTTTTTTAAAACATCATAAATACACAAACAACAATGAATACTTACACGTTGTGTACCCGAATCTCCCGCTGGTCCAAACAAAGTAGGAACAGTATCTTTCTTCAGTGCCCTACACTGTACATATCCGGCATGAATAGCTGAAAGGTTTGGGAAGCTTTGTTTCGTGAAAGGCTGGCAGAGGGTGCGGCCATAGCTCTGGGCGTGGCTACTGGGTATCCCTACGTAGCAATACCCAGGAAGTAAACAATGGAAAATGAGAAATCTCCAACGAGGTGTTTTGGGGAGGTATTTTCTGTGTTAGTTTTACTCCCTACAGGGTGTACTTTGAGGGTTTTTGACTCTGCAGACCGTTTACATGCATAAAAACCTTCATAACACACAAGGGGATGGGTAATAACCGGAAAAGCATGACATGGGACCTTTAAAAGTGAGTTTTTATTGTGTTAACTGTATAGGTATTTATGCTTTTTAGATTTACTTTCTCTCTTTCTTTGTCCGTCTGTTCTAGAAAGCAAATGGAAGAGAGAGACGTCACAGCTGTCAGCAATGTGACAAATCCTTTACAAGATCTGGAGATTTAAAGTGCCACCTGCATATTCATACTGGAGAAAAACCATACAGCTGTAAAGAGTGTGGGACAACATTCACTAGATCAGGTGATCTAAAAAAACATCAACGTATTCACACTGGAAAAAAAACGTACTGGTGTGAAGAGTGTGGGAAAACGTTCACTACATCAAGTGGTCTCAAAACACATCAACGTATTCACACAGGAGAAAAACCGTACAGGTGTGAAGAGTGTGGGAAAACGTTCACTACATCAGATGCTCTCCAAAAACATCAACGTATTCATACTGGAGAAAAACCGTACTGGTGTGAAGAGTGTGGGAAAACGTTCACTACATCAAGTGGTCTGAAAACACATCAACGTATTCACACAGGAGAAAAACCGTACTGGTGTGAAGAGTGTGGGAAAACGTTCACTACATCAGATGCTCTCCAAAGACATCAACGTATTCATACTGGAGAAAAACCGTACTGGTGTGAAGAGTGTGGGAAAACGTTCACTACATCAAGTGATCTCCAAACACATCAACGTATTCACACTGGAGAAAAACCGTACTGGTGTGAAGAGTGTGGGAAAACATTCACTACATCAGGTGGTCTCCAAAAACATCAACGTATTCATACTGGAGAAAAACCATACTGGTGTGAAGAGTGTGGGAAAATGTTCACTACATCAAGTGATCTCCAAACACATCAACGTATTCATACTGGAGAAAAACCGTACTGTTGTGAAGAGTGTGGGAAAACGTTCACTACATCAGGTGCTCTCCAAAAACATCGACGTATTCACACAGGAGAAAAACCGTACTGGTGTGAAGAGTGTGGGAAAACGTTCACAACATCAAGTGATCTCCAAAAACATCAACGTATTCATACTGGAGAAAAACCGTACCGGTGTGAAGAGTGTGGGAAAACGTTTTCTCAAAGTTCTCACCTTAAAGTCCACAAGCGAATCCACACCGCATAGTTTTGAACAACTATGAGAGCCAAGCTAGCTGTTTGCTCCTCCTGATGTCCTGAGAGCTGTATTTTTATATTTGAAGAGTCTTTCTGAATTGAAGTCTGACTAACAGACTTCAATTCACAGAGTCAGTCTCGTTTGATGTCCCTGGACAAGCCCTGAGGTCCATCCATCCATCCATCTTCTCCCGCTTATCCGTGGTCGGGTCGCGGGGGTAGCAGTTCCAGCAGAGAGCCCCAAACTTTCTTTTCCCTGGCGACATCAACCAGCTCTGACTGGGGGATCCCAAGGCGCTCCCAGGCCAGCGAAGAGATATAATCCCTCCACCTGGTCCTAGGTCTACCCCTTGGTCTCTTCCCAGCTGGACGTGCCTGGAACACCTCCCTAGGGAGGCGCCCAGGTGGCATCCTAACTAGGTGCCCGAACCACCTCAACTGGCTCCTTTCGACGCGAAGGAGGAGCGGCTCAACTCCGAGTCCCTCCCTGATGACCGAACTTCTCACCTTATCCCTAAGGGAGACACCAGCCACCCTGCGGAGAAAACCCATCTCGGCCGCTTGTATCCGCGATCTCGTTCTTTCGGTCATGACCCATCCTTCATGACCATAGGTGAGGGTAGGAACGAAAATGGCCCGGAAGACCGAGAGCTTTGCCTTCTGGCTCAGCTCCCTTTTCGTCACAACGGTGCGGTAAAGCGACTGCAGTACCGCTCCCGCTGCTCCGATTCTCCGGCCCATCTCACGCTCCATTGTTCCCTCACTCGAGAACAAGACCCCGAGATACTTGAACTCCTTCACTTGGGGTAAGGACTCATTCCCTACCTGGAGTGGACAGTCCATCGGTTTCCTGCTGAGAACCATGGCCTCAGATTTGGAGGTGCTGATCCTCATCCCAGCCGCTTCACACTCGGTTGCGAACCGATCCAGTGAGTGCTGAAGGTCGCAGACCGATGAAGCCATTAGAACCACATCATCTGCAAAAAGCAGTGGTGCAATCCTTAGTCCACCGAACTGCAGACCCCCTCCCCCATGACTACGCCTCGAAATCCGATCCATGTATATTACAAACAGGATTGGTGACAAAGCGCAGCCCTGGCGGAGGCCAACCCTCACCGGAAATGGGTCCGACTTACTGCCGAGGACCCGGACACAGCTCTCGCTTTGGGAGTACAGAGATTGGATGGCCCTGAGTAGAGACCCCCTCACCCCATACTCCCGCAGCACCTCCCACAGTAACTCCCTGGGAACTCGGTCATACGCCTTCTCCAAGTCTACAAAACACATGTAGACCGGATAAGCGTACTCCCAGGCCCCCTCCAGGATCCTTGCGAGAGTAAAAAGCTGATCCGTCGTTCCACGACCAGGACGGAATCCGCATTGTTCCTCCTCAATCTGAGGTTCGACAATCGGCCTGACCCTCCTTTCGAGTACCTTAGAGTAAACTTTCCCGGGGAGGCTGAGTAGTGTGATGCCTCTGTAATTGGCACACACCCTCTGATCCCCCTTTTTAAATAGGGGAACCACCACCCCGGTCTGCCACTCCTTCGGTACTGTTTCCGACTTCCACGCAACGTTGATGAGACGTGTCAACCATGACAGTCCCTCAACACCCAGAGCCTTCAGCATTTCCGGGCGGATCTCATCCACCCCCGGGGCTTTGCCACTGTGGAGTTGTTTGACGACCTCAGTGACCTCCCCCCGGGAGATTGGTGTTGATCCCCCGTCATACTCCAGCTCTGCCTCTAACATAGAGGGCGGAGTTGTCGGGTTCAGGAGTTCCTCAAAGTGTTCCTTCCAACGCCCTAACACTCCATCAGTTGAGGTCAACAACGTCCCATCCTTACTGTACACAGCTTGGATGGTTCCCTGCTTCCCCCTCCTGAGGTGTCGGACAGTTTTCCAGAACAACTTTGGTGCCGCCCGAAAGTCCTTCTCCATGTCTTCTCCGAACTTCTCCCACACCCGCTGCTTTGCCTCGGCCACGGATGAGGCTGCTGCCCTTCGGGCCTGTCGGTACCTTGCAACTGCCTCGGGAGTCCCCCGGGATAACAAATCCCTGAAGGCCTCCTTCTTCAGTCGGACGGCTTCCCTGACCACCGGTGTCCACCAGGAGGTTCGAGGGTTACCGCCCCTTGAGGCACCTAGGACCTTGAGACCACAGCTCCCCGCCTGAGGTCCTCTTCAGCTTTTTAAATATCCCTAAAGTCCCCCAAAATAAAATGGGTGAGGCTTTTCTCCACTACGCTCCCAAACTGTGGAACACCAGGAAATATCAGAGAGGCTCAGTGGACATTTTTAAACGCCTTCTAAAGAAACATCTCTTTAGATTAGCTTTTTATTAGCAACCCCCCACTTTAAATGGTCTTTTAGTCTTTATTATTTACCTACTTTTATATTGTTTTATTTATGATATAGGAAGGGTTTTATCTCATATTAGTTATTTAACAGTTTCAATAAAAACATTTATTTTTACGTTGGTTTCTTTATATTTTAATCGTTTAACCTTTATTAGAATTATGACGTTTTTATTACTATTCATTTGTAATTCTGTTGTACCTATATGTTCACTTTATTTTATAGGGTTTTATATTGTTGAATCTATCCACTTGTCTTGTGTCTTGTCTTTCTGAGAGAAATCATAATTCAGTTTTCATAATCCTTCTCCTGGGCTGCTTGTGTGAGGTGTGCAGCATGTGTAGTGTGGTGTCTCTGTGTGAGACCTGTTAGTTTAACATGTTCATTGTTAGGAGATATGCTCCAGTTTGTCTTTGTGCATGGAGTACTTCAGTCACTTTCTTTTAAGAGAAAGTTGTTCTCAGTTCATCTTAAGTTTGTTTTGTAAATTGGCTGGTGAGCCTTCTTCCTTTTCAAAAAATTAAACATTATCTACTAATTTTGCCAAATCAGTTTCCTCTCTCTCTGTTATTTTTATATTTTGTTACTTCCCTTTGTACCCCTAGTTTAGGAGGGAACGTAACACTGTATTTTATTTTGTATTATCATACCTTTTACCTCCTTGTGTATCTTAACCTGTTAACATGTTATATTTAGCTGCATGTATCTGTAAAGGTCTTAACATCTGAGGGGACTTTCTTATGTTTAATTGAACTATGAAGAAATGTTTTACTATGCCGTGTTTCAGCCATGGTTTTCTTATAGCCTTGTTATTCCATATATAAAATATTATATATCCAGGGTTAAACTGCTAGCCTTGTTAAGCTGCAATAATTACATTATTATTAATAATAATAATACTTAAAATAATAATATATAAACATGGGACTGGTATGACAGATTTTAAACATTGGGGAAACATTTTTGTTTGTAATAAAAGGCATAAAACACATCCAGTAAAAGGCAGAGGCTCTCAGTTTCCTGTCGGAAAAGGTGAGTCTTTAGCTGCCCCTTAAAAATCTCCACTGAGACAGAGGCTCTCAGTTTCTGGGGGAGTTCCTTCCATAGGGGCCACCGCCTCAAAGGCACGGTCCCCCTTAATTTTTAGCCTGATTCGGGGCACCCTTAAGAGGCCTTGCTCGGAGGACCTCAGGGCCCGGGTTGTCCTGTGAGGGTGGATAAGGTTGTTAATGTAGGTGGGGGCTTGGCCTTGTGTAAACCAATACCTTACATTGGGTTCTGAGATGGACAGGGAGCCAGTGCAGGGCAGAAAGGATCGGAGTGATGTGGCATGTTTTTTTGGACCGAGTCAGTAATCTGGCTGCAGCATTTTGGACCTGTTGTAGCCGGTTTATTGATGTGTTGTTGAGGCAGGAGAACAGAGCATTACAGTAATCAAGCCGGGATGAAATAAAGGCATGGATAGCCATCTCCAGTTCTGCATTGGAGAGAAAGCCCCTGAGCTTGGCAATGTTCCTGAGGTGGAAAAAACAGGTACGGGTCAGGAGTTTGATGTGTTTGTCTAGTAGCATAGACTGATAGAAGGTTACACCAAGGTTTGTTATGTTTGCCCTAACGTTACCACTAAATGAACCCAGGTGGCTTGCTACCTTAGAGAAGATCAGCCGCTGAGATCAAGACTTCCGGTAACACTTTATATTAAGGTACACAAATTAACCATCAACTAGTTGTTAATTAACATGCATATTAGCAGTATATTGGCTCTTTATTAGTCATTATAAAACACTTATTAATGCCTTATTCTACATGATCATATTCTACAAGTAATAAGCCATTAGTTGAGAGTTTTTCCTCAATAACCCTCTAATTAGTGCTTATTTATTGCAAGTAAGGAACTTATTGTACATGAGTTTTGGTCTTAATATGTGCTGCCCAATATGGGCCTAATAAGGCAGTAGTACCACAAGAATAGTAATTCTCCCATAATAACACTTAACAAATATAATCTATTCTTATGGAACAAGACATGAAACTACAAGTGTTAATTAAGTCTAAACAACTCAAAATTAGCTATTTATATCTAAGAACACGTTCCCTATTCTAAAGTGAAGTCTTGTTCATAACCAATAAGCTATTAGTTTGACTCTAATTGACCAGAACAGGTTCCCTATTCTAAAGTTGCCTCCTCTTCACACTTTGTAAATACATTATAGCACACAACTACTGAAATTAACCTCAACAGTTCATGAACAAAGTAGGCACACGTTGAAATATCTGTTTTATTAATGAACCACTAAAGAGAGGTTCAGACACATACATGTACCAAAACATGTCAAGTTTCTCCAAGGCTGAGAACATATATGCAGCCTGTACTTTTTAATAAAAACTGATTTTTAACAGAGTTTATGTATTTGTGATCATACTGTGTGACCTGCTTGTATGTTCTTACACAATAGGTGTACTGTTCTCTCTCTGTGTTGTCTCAGTGTGAACATAGATTAAACACCCAGCCAAACTCTTTTGAGAGCCAGGGAATGAGCAGCCATGCTCCTTTATTGACTTATTTGCAGTCCAGTGACATTCAAACGGAGTGAAACTATAAAAAAAGAAGTTACAAGGCACTTAATGATCTCATACATGCAAGTGTAAGTGCATGCTTAGTGTAAACAAGGTAAACATAGCTAATGCTAGCTGTACAATAAGCATGTATACAGAATAGTATGGCTAACGCTAGCATGTATGCTAACGCTACCGTGTATGCTAACGCTAGCGCGAATGCTAACGCATTTTTTCATTGAGTTTAAACATCTCCACATGTCATCACATAAACACAATATATGTTACTAATCCTTACAGTGTAAGTGTAAGGCTCACACTTACACTTACAGTCATTGCTTTCTGACGGACTTGACCCTTGTACTCTTCAGGTTGCAAAGGGAAAATTAGTGGCAGTGTACTCATGGATGTCTACTGCCATTATATTCCGTTCACGTTCTCCTACTTCCTGTACCTGGGTCTAACCTTCAGTACACATTTTACAAAAATATAAATGTGCAAATATGAAACATACAGGTCAATATCACCTTGCTATTGGTAGCTGAACTGTCAATACCCCAAAACATATTATAAGATATAAATACCTAATTTTGAGTTATTTAGACACAATTAACACTTATAGTTTCATGTCTTGTTCCATAAGAATAGATCATATTTGTTAAGTGTTATTATGGGAGAATGACTATTCTTGTGCTACTACTGCCTTATTACGCCCATATTAAGCAGCGCATATTAAGACCAAAACTCACAAGTTCCTTACTTGCAATAAATAAGCACTAATTAGAGGGTTATTGAGGAAAAACTCGCAACTAATGGCTTATTACTTGTAGAATATGGTCATGTAGAATACGGCATTAATAAGTGTTGTATAATGACTAATAGAGAGCCATTATACTGCTAATATGCATGCTAATTAACAACTAGTTGATGGTTAATTTGTGTACCTTAATATAAAGTGTTACCAGACTTCCATTTTTGATGCATTGAGCTGTAGGAAGTTGCTTGACATCCTCTCAGACATGTAATGAGGGTGTTAAAAGTTTTGACGGGTTTGAAAGATAAATATATCTGGATATCATCTGCGTAACAGTGATACCAGACACCCTTGAATTGGCTAATTAAGGGGCCTAATGGGAGCATGTAAAGGGCCAAAAGAAGGGGGGCTAAAACAGAACCCTGGGGCAGGCCGCAGGATAGGGGAGTGCTGTGGGATGAGAACGGGCCCACCGCCACGGAGGAACTTCTCCCACTGAGGTACGAGGCAAACCACTGGAGGGCAGACCCTGAGATGCCTACCCACTCCCTGAGTCTATCTAGCATGATGGCGTGGTCCACTGTGTCAAACGCTGCACTCAGGTCCAACAACACCAGAACCACGCAATCACCTGCATCCCATGCCATCATAATGTCATTGGAAACCCTGAGTGATAAAAAATAAGAACTAAATGCATTATTGTTTTCAAACATTTTTACATAAAACTTGAAAACAATATTGAATTAGAAATGTATAGAAAATAAAACAATAAGAAAATCAGAAAATAAAATAAATAAATAAGTCATATCATAAACTTTTGTTTTCTTTTTTTCAGGGGGGCCACAGGGGGGTCCACAGCCAGTGTTAGGGGGGCACATCCCCCCCTATAACCGCCCCTGCTCCGAATGTTATATTCCATGGAATGCTCTTAACATCCCGATAGCAATTAATATATTAAATGCTTTGACAATAAATACATACAAAAATTCATCCGTGGAAGCCATAGTACCGTAAAGTAACTGGATGGCCTACCTGCCCGTCAGCCTTCCATCTGTGCACAAACTTATCTCGTGCCCTCATTGGTCATGTGCGCGTTTGTGTGTGTTGGAGGAGGGGCTCTGTAAGGAAGTGGCAGATATGTTCCGGCTGTGTATTTTCAAATTCTAGCTCGCTCGAGCTGGTTTCTCCTAAATGAACTACCCCACCTAAGGGTTTAATAATTTGACAGTGGTTACGTCCCCCTTCTAGGGTAGAGGAAAGTGACATACACCCAGTGGCGGCGGGTCATTAGGGGCAGGTGGGGCACAGCCCCACCTAGTGTCAGAAGAAAGTATTACAAATAATGATTACAAAAAAATACAAAAAAATAAATAAAAAAACATATAAAATATATTTTAAGGTCATGTTTAATAATCTGATTCGTCTGTACATTTCTGTTTTAGTCTGTGTTCTTCTAATTAGTGTCTAGAGGGCCGTTTTGAGCTGTTTAGAGCCATGTGGGACAAAACCCGATCCTGCCCTTCCCTCTCACAGTCTAAGTGAACGGTGATTGTAAAAACTACACTGCGCATGCTCAGAGTATTTTTCTATTGAATGTGTGTGGCAAAAAAATAATGACCGTAGGGGCAGAGTGCTCCCATCCCCACCATACGTCATCTCACATAATTCAGAATTGATTGGCTGTAAGTACTCACGTGTGCAGTGCTGCGAAACGTCACGTGTAGTTTGAAGAGGAGACGAGAGAGCAGCATATAGCTAACATCACCAGCGATTAAAAGAAGTAAAAAACTGAAAGAAAATGAATGAAGTTGACCATTTACTGGAGCACACATTTGAGACACTTAGCCCACCATCCACCGGATTTCCAAATGGTCCAGACTGCGGGCAAAGTTAAACGTGGGTTTAACGCTGAGTGGTTTGCTAAAAAGAAATGGCTAACGGCGAGCATCCAGAAGAATTCCCTCTTTTGCTTTCCTTGCCTGCTTTTTGGTGAAGATCAAGGTACTTGGTCGAGGACAGGTTACAAGGACTTAAAGCATCTTTCGGAGAGGACAATGAAGCATGAGAGCAGCAACAGTCATTTGGAAAATGCCGTAAAATTGGGATTACTTGGAAGGGTGAATGTTGCAGCTCAGATTGACAGCGCCTACAGACGTGGCATTGATTCTCATAATAGGAAGGTGGAAGAAAACAGGTACGTGCTTGGTCGGATCATCACCTGTATTAAACTGTGTGGGAAATGTGAGACAGCACTGCGGGGCCACAACGAGTCGGCGGACTCTCTGAATCCAGGGATATTCAGGTCAATTTTCGAGACAATGTGTGAGGGCGATTCCAGGCTTCGACGGCACTACGAAGCTCAGCTTGTTTTCAAAGGGACATCAAGCACCATACAGAATGAAGTCTTGGACTGCATGTATGATGTGTACAGGGAGGAAATAGCCAAGCAAGTGGACAACACATCATTTGTTGCCGTTCAGGCCGACGAGACAACCGATGTCTCCTGTAAATCGCAAATGGTGATTGTGCTGCGATACATTATGCCTGACCTCACAGTTACAGAGCGTTTTTTGGAGTTTGTGGAAGTAAAGGACAAAACTGGTGTAGGTCTCTCTAACAGCATCAAGGCTGTTCTGGAACCCCTGAAGCTGAAAGAAAAGCTAATCGCTCAGACCTATGACGGGGCGGCCGTCATGAGCGGTAACGTGCGCGGGGTACAGACGGTGATGAAGGAGACGTACCCAAACGCTCAGTTTGTTCACTGCTACGCCCACCAACTGAACCTGACCCTGCAGCAACTGTGTTCAGCAAGGATGAGCATCCTGAAGGGGTTTTTTGCAGATCTAACTGCTTTTTCCACTTTTTTCTCCGGTGCTCCAAAACGTGTTGCAGCTCTTGCAGAGGCAACACAGTGACGCATACCACGGCCACCGGCTGTGAGATGGAACTTTAAAAGCAGAACTGTGAACGCGGTTTGGGAGACCCGAGATGCACTACTTCAGTGTATGAAGCATATACGCGCACAACCAGGATGGGATGCGGTCACCATAAGTGAGGCATACGGCCTGTCAAATAAACTGCGGGACCGAGCATTTATGCAGCTCCTGGAGTTTTTTTCGTTGCTTGTGCCAGAAGTGGATGTTCTATACAACACTCTGCAAAAACGAAGCATCGATGCACCTGGGATCAACAGCGCGCTCTGCCGTTTCAAGGAAAATGTTCAGAAAATGAGGCAGAAAACTGATGCATTGGCCGCCACTGCTCATGATGGAACAGACGAGCCAGGCCGACGAGTCAGCAGCACAGCGCCGGTGATGAAGGAGGCTTGTGACACAGTCATCTCACAGGTGGGACAGAGGTTCTCACAGAGTGACCATTTGATCGCTGCAAAGCTTGTTGACAGCTCATTCTTCCCACAGCATGTCCTGTCGTTTCCTACACCTGAGCTTGACTGCGCCGTGAAACTGGCCTGCGTTGGGAAACAAGGAGAAGTTGAAGTCTGAGCTGACCACGCTCTACCGCCACAGTGAGCTTCACACTGGAAACACTGCCCTGTCTCTGTTGAAATCCATTCACGAGAACAACTTGGAGGAAACGTTTGCTGAGACTGTTATTTTGGTCAAAATAATAGTGACAACTCCGATGACGACATCCGAGTCAGAGAGGAACTTTTCCACCCTCAAAAGGATAAAGACTTTCACTCGCAACACCATGGGACAGCCGCGACTTAACGCATTGGCCATGCTTTCAATTGAAAGCCAGTTGATCCAGCAACTACAGGACTTCATCCCCAAAGTGATAGACACATTCTGTCAGAGGAAGGACCGCCGTGCCGCTTTTCTTTTCAAGTGAGCCTTCAGCTTTGGTAAGTTCATTTATGTCATATATTTTGTTGATCTTCTGTGTTTTGCCTCTGCTGGATCGATTGATATTGTGACCTCGATGATGAGTGTCTGTGTTTTCCTTATATTTACAGTCTATGGTGTTTTAATGCTAAAGCATTACGGTTGTTGTTATTGTTAAGAATTACTTTGTGATGGTGAGCTTTACTCCATGTATGAAGGTGCATTACTATGACATCCCCACGCTGTGTACGTAAATGTATGCGCTCACAGTGTTGCTCCTGTGGTCTTCAGTATGTAATTTGACACTCCCCCTCTCTCTCTCCTCCCCCCCCTCTCTCTGTCCCCCCTCTCTCTCTCTCTCTCTCTCTCTCATCTCTCTCTCTCTCTCTCTCTCTCTCTCCTCTCTCTCTCTCTCTCTCTCTCTCTCTCTCTCTCTCTCTCTCTCCCCCGACCTCTTTCTGCCCCCCCAGTTTTGTACACCTAGAAACGCCACTGCATACACCAGTATGGAATTGGTAACGTTACAAGCATTTATATACACCACAAGTTAACAAAAGGGCAGACAAACAGCCAGGAGCAAACAAAAGTGGCCAAAAGGCACAGATATATCTCATGAGCCAACAAAAAAAGGAGGACTCTAACAAAGGGAGGACTCTATTAAATGAGCCTACTTAACTACAAAGGAATATAAAAAATGGAAGAAAAAAAATTGCCACACAACGTCACTATTGCATCGTGTTCAAAAGGTTAAATCAGCTTCCTTTCTTTCCTGCAGTAGCCTATACAAAGTCATTCAGACTAGCTGCACCTTTACCAGCTTTGAGAACACTTTCATGATCAATCATTATATTCAAAACATATATAATAAAAAAAGTATTATTACAAACAAAACATTTTCCACAACTTTTAAAATCCGTCTGACCCGTCTCATCTTTACATATCTATTATTATTATTATTATTATTATTATTATTATTATTATTATTATTATTATTATTATTATTATTATTATTATTTTAATTATTATTTATTTTAATAGCGTTCGTTTTTTCTATTGTTTCACCACAGGGGGCAGTGAACTGATGTTTAAAACAAAAACAAAAATCCCATGATGCATTGCGGTGGTCCGTTTCTAGCTTCCGGTCCTCAGAAGCTATACGTTGCTAACATACATTGATGCAGATGTTATACCGAATGTAATGTGTTTAAGAGACTTTTAAAACACATACAAAGAGTTAGGTTATCCCTGGAGGGTGATTTATCGTGCTTTCATCCGTTAAACCGTGTTTTTGTTGCCTCCCGTTCTTTGTTCGTAGCTTTTTATAGGACGTTGCTGATCGGTAAACATAAGTAAAGGCCTTAAAGGGAGATTAGTGTGTTTAACGGCAGTGTTTTATCAAGGAGAAGAAAGACTGAAGAACCAGGACGAAGAGGAGAGAGAGGTAACATCCTTCAGTGTGTGGCGGTGTGCGTGTGTGTTTCTGATAATACATTTTTTTATTATATATGTTTTATAATGATTGATCATAAAGTGTTCTCAAAGCTGGTAAAGATGCAGCTAGTCTGAATGACTTTGTATAATAATTAATTAATACCTTACATTTATTATAGCGCTTTTTCAATGACTCAAAGCGCTTTACATATACACACATTACACATATATCATACATGCAATGGTCAGATACTGATACTGATACCCACAGGAGCAAATCCGGGTGAAGTGTCTTGGACACAACGGCCTGACGCAGTGGCGGCAGGAGCGGGTTTCGAACTGGAGTTCCCCAGCACTCCCCCTTGATCTGATGATCGGATGCACAGACCACTGCGCCACCCGTCCCAATACAGCAGGGTAGCTTGTGAATTTACTCCAGGTGGAACTAATGTCTGATTTAACACTTGATTATATTTCACATCATTAATCCAGATCTGTAAAGTAACTAAATGTATTAAATGCATGTAGTGGAGTAAAAGTACACCATTTATCTCTGAGCTGTTCTAAATGTACAAAGTAGCATTACACAGAAATACTCAAGTAAAGTCAAAGTACCTCTAAATGGTACTTAAAGTGGACCTATCATGCTATATCTGAACAATATATTGTAGGGCCATGCCTATATAAAGTATATCAATATAGTTCTTTTTTCAAAATACCAAACAGACCCTCCATTTTAGCCATGCCTCATTTCGCTCTATTTACTCTTTCCAGCCCTGTTTTTGCAGGGGGCTGATTCTAGGCTTGTTTGAGACGCGTTGCGGCTCGCCTCGAAAGTAAACGAGAATAGCCGATCGCAGCCGGGGGAGGTCTGAAAAAGCTCGCCTGAAGTCGGACAGCTCGGAGTCGGCTTCGTCTTCTTCTTCTTCTCTCGGTTTTTTGGCGGATTGCAAACAACTTTAAGGTGCATACCGCCACCTCCGGAGTCAGTTTGACTCGGTTTGCATTTATAAAGAATGCACACGTGTTTAATCGTTAATGTCAGATATGTACTAAGTAAATACATTTGTTCCTGCTCAAGATGAGATTCAACTTTATTGTTATTGCACATATTACAGGTACTGAGACAACGAAATGCAGTTTAGCTTCTAACCAGGAGCAACAAGCAATAAAGTGAAAAGTAATGTACACAATCTACAGAATAACATATAGAATGAATTGAATGATGAATAAACAGTGAGGGGTATGAATACACTAGATATACACAGCAGCCTGTGAGCAGTATGAACAGTGTGTATGAACACACTAAGATATATAAAGTATGAAAACGGTAAGCAGTGCAAGTATAGTATAAAATAGACATTAATTTCATGATGATAAACATTGTGGAACAATGATGAAAAATGGGAATGGATGTGGCGACGTAAAACTGACACAAAACAACAACAAACTTTTGCCGAGCCAATTGGAGAGTTTCATCACCAGCACGTGGTAAAAACCACCAATGAGCGCTCAGCTCGAGATACCAGCGAGTCGTTTCCCATCAAGCATTTAGCTTCCGCAGCCCGTGGAGAGGAACTGCGCCGCCTCGCTCTCAAGGCTGCGGGGCGTCTTTGTCCCGCGAGATTTCAACGTCTCATGTAGGCGAGCCTCCAGAGCAAGTCGGACAAAATGACTAACCATCATGCAACGCACTAGCAAGACGTTGATCGAAATTGCGCAGGTCTCGCTTGTCTCAAACAAGCCTATTGTGAGCTGCAGCTGACCACGCCCCCCTGCAGGAGAGGGGAGCATGCTTTGAGATCAGGGCTGTCAGAAGAGGGGGAGAAAAAGAGATCTTCGTCCTCCGTGTTTTATTCTTATATGATTATATAGTCATTATTCATTTGTTTTAAAGCTCAATAAATAACAAAGAAGACCTTTGACTGATCTGGATCAGTCTATATCAGATCAGTTGCAGCCCCGTTTTTTAGAGATTTGGGTATGGAGGAAAAGAGAGGGGGTTGTGTTTTCTGACACTTGGTGAGTTCCCTGACACACCTGAGACACATATTCATGTATACAAGACGGACAAAAGTGCATTTTGCATGATTGGTCCCCTTTAAGTACAGTACTTGAGTAAATGTACTTAGTTACTTCTCGCCTCTGTTTTGAACCTACGAAGTAGCTGTAGATTTGTTTTGTTGTGTCTGTCGGTTGTATTGAGTTGTCTTGTTTTGTGTCAGCTGTAGTTGTGTTGATTATTTCAGAGACACAGCCGGAGAAGGAGCACTGAGAGCAGCATGGAGGAGAACAAAAAGACCCCTGGAGCTCAGGTCAGTGTGCACTTCATCACAATATATTCCTATCACTGTTATCCCCAAATGAAAGATCACAACCTGTTTAGAAAATACAATATGAATGCACTGTTTGGTTAGATATAGCTTAGAACGTTGTTGTATACTATACGGTATACGTTAACACTTTATTGGTCAGATAAAGTCTGAAATGTGACTTGCATCACAGCAGCTCCATGTGTAACATCAACATAAACAAATATTACATTACATTACATTTAGCTGACGCTTTTATCCAAAGCGACTTACAATAAGTGCGTTCGACCAACAAAATACAACTTGAAGAAAACAGAATCATAAAGTACATCAGGCTTCATAGAGCCAAACATTTCAAGTGCTACTCAACTGGCTTTAGATAAGCCAGTCCTTTATTAGTATAAAAGTGCTTCGTTAATAGTTCTATCGCTCGAAGTGGAGTCGAAAGAGATGAGTTTTCAGTTTGCGCCGGAAGATGTGCAAGCTATCTGCTGTCCTGATGTCAATGGGGAGCTCATTCCACCATCCTGGAGCCAGGATAGCAAACCCACGTGTTTTCGCCGATGGGAACTTGGGTCCCCCTCGCAGCGAGGGCGCAACGAGTCGTTTGGCTGATGCAGAGCGTAGTGCACGCGCTGGGGTGTACGGTTTAACCATGTCCTGGATGTAGGAAGGGCCAGATCCATTCACAGCACGGTAAGCAAGTACCAGTGTCTTGAAGTGGATTCTAGCAGTTACTGGAAGCCAGTGAAGGGAGCGGAGGAGCGGAGTGGTGTGGGAGAATTTAGGAAGGTTGAAGACCAGACGAGCCGCTGCATTCTGGATGAGCTGCAGAGGTCGGATGGCACATGCAGGTAGACCAGCCAGGAGGGAGTTGCAGTAGTCTAGGCGTGAGATGACGAGAGCCTGGACCAGAACCTGAGTCGCTTTCTGTGTCAGCTGGGGATGTATCTTCCTGATGTTGTAAAGCGTGTATCTGCAGCAGTGGGTTGTAGCAGCGATGTTTGCAGTGAAGGACAGGTTGTTATCTAAATAAATATCTAAATATCAAGACAATACATGAAAAACAAACAACAAACATGTAACATAACAGCAGGATCAGTGAGAGACAACCTGCTCAAAGAGCCTTCAGTGTGCTTTTGATCTGGATTCAGCTCTGTATTTACTGAGAGGACTGACTGGAGCACAAAGGATGCTTCAGTCTGACTTTATTGAATCTCCATTAGATGGCAGCAGTTCATATTCTCTGTTCAGAGCATGCTTTGGGTCCCAGATGATGTTGTTGGACAGCCTCTCAGGTTTTTATGGTCTGCTGAGTCAGAAAGTCTCTGACAGGGTGGGACCAACAATCTTTGAGCAGATTTTTAACAGGTGGAGCAGTTTTGATTTGAAAGCTGTTGACAAACACTTGCTCTCAGTGCTCCTTCTCCGCCTAAAAACCCACCTCTTTTCCCTCGCTTACCAGTCAGTCTGAGCTATGTCTTACCTATTTGTATGCTTTTACTGTCTGTCCATAGCCTTTATGTGCCTTGTATTTATTCTTATGTGTGCTTTTTGATCTTTTCTTATGTGTGCTTTTTATCTATTCGTGTAATATTATATTTTATTATAATGTTATGTTCATTGTGAAGCACTTTGGCAAACCCTCTGTTTTTAAACTCTGCTATATAAATAAAGTGGATTGGATTGGACTTGTACCAGGTCGCATTGCAGTACTGCAGAACAGACACGATCATAGATGAAAAGTAGGGCTGCATGATTTGGGGAAATAATCGAATTGCTATTTTTCTGACAGATATTGCGATTTGATTTGCAATATTTGTTTTTAAGCAACCCAGCGGAAGTTTATTGTAAAATGCGGCTATATCTCCGGCTAGGAAGGTCGTATCAAAGTGCTCCCGTCTCTAGCACCCCGCAGCCCGAGCTGCGAGCAAAAGAACTAAACTTACATGAAACTTCCGTTGGGTTGCTTTAAAGTCAAGCTTCAGTTTAAGATTCACCCTGTAATAGATGTAAAACATGTGAGCATTACTAACCTGACTCAGATGGTTTGATTCACCAAACCATCTAGGAAAGCTCTATTTGAAGCCATTTGGAAAGGGCAGGCACTTTCAAAAATACTTGGCAGGTGATTGGATCAATCTGTCTATCACTATCATGGGCCACTTCTGATTGGTTAACAATGGCTTCTGATTGATGTGGATGACTGACAAACAAGAAGAAAGAAAACAATAAAAAAGTTATGTGTCAGTATTCAGTGTTTCCCCTAGGTTTACTGCCTTGGCCCCGAAACTATTTTTTGAATTTTGAATTTTAAATATGGGCAGCTTGTCTCTACGATTCGCTGGCCCAGGAAGTTGATGTTGATGAGTTATGTGCTAAGTGCGTTAGCACTCTTTCGCTTACTGCTGATTCAGAGACTCGGTGTTAGAGTTGGGTTTTGTTTCAGTAAAAATATTTCATATCGTCAGTTAGCTGAGTTTCTTCTTGTTAAGTGGGTATGACACATTCATAGTTTCTTACATGTTATAAAGTCCTCAGACGCTGTTGCGGCCCAGGCAGGTTAATGGTTATTTTTTGGTGTGTGTTTACATAATTAAAAAAACTATTTTAATGTGATTACACATTTTCTCCATATCGATAAGTGTTAGAACGACTACAAACATGCACAAACTATATATGTGACCTGCTCTATCGAAATCAGTCACATTGACCCGAAGACACATTTTGAGTTGTATACACTGTTGGAAAGAGGATATTCCTAGCTTTCTAATGATATCATGATTGTTTTTGTACTCCAAATATTAAGCAAAATATGTCACATTATATAATGACTGTCACAGAGTCATCATTTTGAGAGAACGGCCTTCAAATGTTCCTCTTCTCTGGAATCCATCGATCTGATTGATTATTAGCGGAGCAAATGATCCAAATACTACGGAGGGAAGATATTTTGGTTTGGATAGTGCTGGGGGGAAACGATTATTTTGAAAACGATTAATCGGGCGATTATTTGATCGATTAGTCGACTAATCTAACGATTATTTTTCTGTTGTTCAATTCATAAAAAACGTAATGTAAAACTTTTTTTTTTCACGATACTGTGTCTCAGGGGATCTTAATATTTTAGAACCTATTAATGTGTTATACCAGATTAACGGAAATAATCTCAGCTAACTGACGATATAAATCATGTTTACCAAAACAAAACACAAGTCTCATAAGAAGCATCTAAATGACCCCTGAGCGAAAATTGCTAACGGACATTGGCACAGAACTCAAGATAAAAGTACCCTTACTACTTATCATAGCTGCACATACAATATATCCGATTAAAGCTGAGACTCCACAGATTATGTAGGTATATAGTATCATCACTGAGTGATCCGGACTCGCGACAGGGGAAGCAAATACAGTCATCACAACACGTACCTTCACAGAGCTTCTCAGGAGATCGTCTCACCACCGTAATCTGATCAAAAGACGTGTTCAATGCCAATAAAATGAGAAAAAACGCGGCTGAATCGGTTAATCCATAGGTTTTTAACGTCTATGTATACAAAAATGATTGAATTTATAATCCATAATTCCATTTTATGTAAAAATCGGAGAGCAAATGCTAGCTGCTAATGGTAGCCACCACAGCTAGCTGCTGCTTCTGCTAGGCTATGCAGTCGCCAGCTGACTCAGAAAGCGACTCAGGTTCTGGTCCAGGCTCTCGTCATCTCACGCCTAGACTACTGCAACTCCCTCCTGGCTGGTCTACCTGCATGTGCCATCCGACCTCTGCAGCTCATCCAGAATGCAGCGGCTCGTCTGGTTTTCAATCTTCCTAAATTCTCCCACACCACTCCGCTCCTCCGCTCCCTTCACTGGCTTCCGGTAACTGCTAGAATCCACTTCAAGACACTGGTACTTGCTTACCGTGCTGCGAATGGATCTGGCCCTTCCTACATCCAGGACATGGTTAAACTGTACACCCCAGCGCGTGCACTACGCTCTGCATCAGCCAAACGACTCGTTGCGCCCTCGCTGCGAGGGGGACCCAAGTTCCCATCGGCGAAAACACGTGGGTTTGCTGTCCTGGCTCCAAGATGGTGGAATGAGCTCCCCATTGACATCAGGACGGCAGATAGCTTGCACATCTTCCGGCGCAAACTGAAAACTCATCTCTTTCGACTCCACTTCGAGCGTTAGAACGATTAACGAAGCACTTTTATACTAATAAAGGACTGGATTACCTAAAGCCAGTTGAGTAGCACTTGAAATGTTTGGCTCTATGAAACCTGATATACTTATATGATTCTGTTTTCTTCAAGGTTGTGTCTTCCTGGTCGAATGTACTTATTGTAAGTCGCTTTGGATAAAAGCGTCAGCTAAATGCAATGTAATGTAATGTAATGCAGCAGTCTCAGTGAGATATAAATATATAAATATCTTTGCGTTTTGGACTAACTTTAAAATATTCCCATGCTTATGAAGACCTAGGGCGAGATGTTTTCGTTTGGGGGCTTCGTGCGCAATCCTGTGAGGAGGAGGTGGTAGCCGTTTCAGTCTCCATTGTGTTTGAAGAGCGATTGCGAACTGTTTGTTGCTTTGGGTGACCCACGTGTGTGTAGCGACGCGTCGACGCGGAAATATGTCGTCAGCGATATTTTGAAGTCGTCGACGCGTCGCTACAGCACTATGGATTACTGGTCTGGGGGAAGCTCGCGAGTTTGTGTGTGTGTTTGTGTATTTTTGCTGTGACGTCAAGTTACTCCGTTCTCCACTTCTAATTATGCCGTTACAAGCTTCAAAGTTGTATTTATCATCTGAATTTGCCGAAACAAGTTTAATATTCTGAAAGACAAGACTTTGTTTATTTGAAATCAGATTAAAACAAACTGTAATGGACCCTGCCGTGTTATCTATGATTACTATACGCCTTACATTCATAATTTCAGTCGGAGGGAGGGGGGGGCGGCGCTGCGGAAGAGCAGAGCGCGAGTGAGAGGTGCCGG